AGCATCTGGAGCTCCACTTGGCTTGAGCTATGCACATGGGGGACGTCCTTCTGTATGTACGTTTCTCTTATTGGCTGATGAATAAAACACGGATTGGCCAGTAGCTAGGCAGGACGTATAGGCGGGGCTCCCAGACCAGGAGAAGGCTGGGGAGAGGAGGGCAGAGAGAGGCTGCCAGACAGATGCCATGTAGAGGCAGAAGGAACAATACTGCCAGGGCATTACCAGGAAAGCCAAGAGCATGTGGAAATACTTAGATTAGTAGAAATGGGTTAATAATTAAGAGAGAGCTAGGCAGTAAGAAGCACTGGCTATCAGCCAAGCAGTTTATACATTTACATAAGTCTTTGCGTGTTTATTTGGGGGATAATTGGGTAGGCATAGAGACAGATCCAAACAGTTGCCAGGCTTCTGATAACCTATATAAACAATGATGTGTCCCTCTTACCTTTTCTGGAGTTTTCCCTTGAAGTCCAGATTTTCCTCTACTTTTCCTGAATTCGAATACTTTCATGGCAAATACCCAGATTCTCTAGTTTGTTGTGTCAACTTTACTGCTGGCATTGTTTTTGGATCTTGTCCATAAGTTACATACATAGAGACCCAAGTCGGCCACACGTCAACATTGTTGCACTTAAATATTGCACCAAGGGTTTGTCTTCAATGTTTTCTTAATTGTTTTTAGATGGTTATGGCTGAGGTTCTAGCTCAGTGGTAGAATTCTTGCCTAGCATTTGGGAAGCTCTGGGCTTAATCCCCCATTGTTGGGGGGGGGAGTAAAGAGCTAGACAGTCTCATTGGTTTTAATCCACCAGGGTAGGCAGCCTACAAGATGACCTCAAGTCATCTTCCCTGCCGTTAACTGGACTGACCAGTGTAACAGAGTACAGTAGGTCCAAGGGAGTGTGGCTTCTGAGTTAAAGGCATCAGAGTCAACAAATCCCAGAGATAGCCAATCAGCCAAGTGGTAAGAGACTGAGGCCTCAACAAGTCATGTGAGTCACCAAAGAAAGGAACCCTGGCAGGTCTTGGATGACATTGTTGACTCTTCTCATAGAGGATGTACACTCAAATGTTCCCAAATTCCTTATCCACAAAAGTTATAACAAATGCTTATTGGTGGGTTTTTGTTTGTTTGTTTTGATTTTTCAAGACAGGGCTACTCTGTAACCACTCTGGCTGTCCTAGAACTCACTCTGTAGACCAAGCTGGCCGTGAACTCACAGAGATCTGCCTGCCCTTGCACCCCGAGTGCTGGGATTAAAGCATGTGCCACCACGCACAGCACCACCAGGCTTTAGAATAGCTAATACATCATTTGTCCTTTGAACTCAGCAGACTAGATCTGTATTTGTATCTCTCTTGCTGTCCAGGGACCATTCTTTGCTTCTGCTCTGAATCTTTTTGTTGTTGCTTTTCGAGACAGGGTTTCTCTGTGCAGTTTTGGAACTGTTCTGATCCTCGGCTACAGTCCAGGATACGGATTTGATCTCTGGTTTCATAGAACTGGTATAGTATTGGTTAAGATACAGTTTCTGGGTTGGAGAGATGGCTCAGTGGCCAAGTGTCTGTATTGCTCTTACAAGAAGACCTGCGTTTGGTTCCCAGAACCCACTCTGGGCAGTTCACGATTGCCTGTGATTCCAGGTCCACGGGGATCAGATACCTTATGTACCATTCACACACAAACACACACATATTTTTAAATATCCAGCTTGATTATGCTGGTGTACACATGCAATTCCGTGACGTCAGAGGCTGATGTGGGATGATCGGGTGCTTGAGGTCACCTTGGCCTATATGGCAAGACACTGTCTCAGAAAACCCACGGGCTAGTAATGCTATATAGAGGTGGACCTAGTATGGGCAAGGTCACGGGTGTGGCCCCTAGGACTACAAAAATAAATCCATAAACATCACTTCTGCTGCTTGGCTCTGTACTCCTGGGCTTGGTCAACTTTGCTTTGCAGTGACTAGGGTCTGGAACAACCAGCTGGTGTCAAACAAACATTAAGAGGCACGAAAATCACAGAGTCACTTTAGTGAATGTGTCCTTTCTTAATGCCTTGTGTAAAAGGCTTGCCACCTGTAGTGATCACTTTCTTCCTTATTGGCTTTGGCAAGTACTACACAAGGAAACTGACAAAGTTTTCAGTGTCTCCCACATAATATTATCACTCCTAGGACTTGATGGAAGGTCACCTCAGTCTTTTTTTTTGGTTTTTCGAGACAGGGTTTCTCTGTGGCTTTGGAGCCTGTCCTGGAACTAGCTCTTGTAGACCAGGCTGGCCTGGAACTCACAGAGATCCGCCTGCCTCTGCCTCCCGAGTGCTGGGATTAAAGGCGTGCGCCACCAACGCCCGGCTCACCTCAGTCTCTTTATGTACGAGCTTAACAGATCCTCTCCTTTGGTCTGCCTAGTCAATCAACACACTGTGTCAAGCTAAGTCTCTTTCGGAGGTGTCCTTTAAATCATTCTTCTCACCGAGATTCTGTCTCTCGCCTAGTATGGCCTATGGTCCTCTCTCTAGGCCAGGCCCATCTAACTGAGTTACCAAGCAGTTGTCAGTATGGCCTTGAAAGACACCTGCTACCACCAGGATTTTTTTTCTTCTTTAAATGCAAGGCTGGGGAGATTGCTCGGGGGATGATGGCCCTTGCTGCCAAACCTAATGGCCTTAGGACCTTCAGAGTGGAAGAGAACTCTCTCCCGCAAGTTGTCCCCTGGGGTCCACATGCATTCAGGGACACTTGCAAATATAAGTAAGTAATAAATGTAAAAGAATATAAAGTTCCACGACACCTGGACTCTATGACAGATATAGAAATGAATTTCAGATCCAGATTCCTGCTTCAGTGCCAAGAGCATCGGTTTAGACGTGGTTTTTTTTTGGTTTTACTGTATTGTTTTGGAGGCTGTCCTGGAACTTGTTCTGTAGACCAGGCTGGTCTCCAACTCACAGAGGTCCACCTTCTTCTGCCTCCCGAGTGCTAGACATGGGTATTCTGTTGACTCAAAAGCAGATGGCAGGTGGCAGGTTATCTTTGTAGATCAGGTGTCCCCCCCCTTCTTCCTCTAGGTGTTCTTCTCAAATTGGTCCCATTTTCTGTTTCTGGAGACATAGTATACAGTATACAGGCAACTGCATCTTTAGACAGGAGGTTAACAAAAAGTCAACTTTAAAATAGTAGTGGTGGTGCACACCTTTAATCCCAGAGCTTGGGTGGCAGAGGCAGGTAAATCTCTGTGAGTTCAAGGCCAACCTGATCTACAGAGTTCCACGAAAGCCAAGGCTATATAAAGATGCGTTTTCTCAAAACAAAACCCTAAAACCAAAAAGATGAAAAACAAACAAAAACCCATCAATAATAACAACAAAAATCCCACTGTAGACAGGCATGATGGGTTACATTTTTTTCTTTGTGCAGCCTTGGCTGTCCTGGAGCTCTCTCTGCAGACTATGCTGGCCTGGAATTCACAGAGAACCTCCTGCCTCTGTCTCCCGAGTGCTGGGATTAAAGGCTTGCACTACCATTTGCCAGGTGGATAGGTCACATTTGTAATCCCAGCACTTGGGAGAGTTCAAGACCAAGTTGGGCTGTATATCCATTCCAGGACATTTCCTACATAAGGAAATGATTCCAAGACACTCAGTAGGAGGAAAATATTTTTTTCCTCCTGAGACGGGGCTTCTCTAGGTATCCTTGGCCGTCCTGGAACTTACTCTGTAGACCAGGCTGGCCTGGAACTCAGAGATCCAACTGTCTCTGCCTCCCGAGTGCCAAGCATTGGAAGTGATGTTTATGGATTTATTTTTGTAGTTCTAGGGGTCACACCCATGACCTTGGCCATACTAGGCAGGTGTCCCATCTTTACCATTACTAGCCTGTGGGGTTTTCTGAGACAGTGTCTAGCCATGTAGGCCAACCACGGCCCAGCGAAGAAAAAAATTTTTAAGGAGTTTCTTATTCTTACTTATTTGTTCAGTTCCTGCATTGTGTGGTTGCAGTGCCCAGGGAGGCCGGAAAAGGTCGTAAGATCCTTTGGAACTGGAGTTACACTACTGGGACCTGAACTCAGGTCCCTCTTGCAAGAACAAGTGCACTTGACTGCTGAGCCTCTTCTAGCCCGGCCCTGCAACTGATAAACCCATGATCAACTAGAATGGCAATCATGAGAGTTGGTGACTGAGCAAGAACTGTAAAAATGGAGACAGAACCAAGCTGTTTCCAATAATAATAATAATAATAATAATAATAATAATAATAATAATAATAATAATAATCATGCTGTTCTTAGAAGTGCAAGTCTTTCAGGCAGTTCGAAACTGGAGAGGAGGGAAAGGCTAGGGTTAAACATCTCCCACGAAAAGGCAACTAATCGCACCATCTAAGACGGCAGCCCCCAGGTCCTCAGGTGCCCTGGAGATGTAGTAGCATACAGTACACAGGCAACTGCATCTTCAGACGTGGTGTTAACAAGAAGCCAACTTTAAAAAATAATGGTGGCAGTGCACACCTTCAATCCCAGAGCTTACAAAGCAAGCGCCCGGAAACTGAAGTAGAGCACAAAGTGCAGCAGCAAATTCCCTAACGTGGCATTCTGGCCGACCTACTCATTCCCTTACTGTGAGTTTTGCAGACACCCGCGGGTCCTTGGGACCCTCCATTCCAATAACCCTCCAGGCGACAGGCCAGATGACCATCGTTAGAGCGGGGACAAAATCCCGGCCACGCGAGCTTAATTGGGGGAGGCATGCAACTATCCTTTGCTTTCCGTGAAAAGGCATGCAACTCTACTCTGCTTTTCCATCCCCCAACACCCTCCAGGCGACATGCCAGATGATCAGCATTAAGGGGGACAAAGTCCGGGCCACGGGATCTTAATGGGGGGGGGCATGCAAGTATCCTTTGATTTCGGTGTCGCACCCTCCGCTCCGGCAGGTGGCTGCAGCCGCAGCAGCAGCAGTTCTGGGCGGGCGAGCCTGCAGGAAGCTGAAGCTCAGCTCAGGGTCACTCTAGGAAGGGGTGCCCTTGGCGCCGGGATCGGGCTCCTCCTCCCACAGGGCAGAGACGCCCGCCCGGGGCGGGTGTGTGTGTGTGTGAGCCTGGAGGAGGCTCCACAGAGCCATCGGGGCTTCGGGACAGGCAGAAGCACGGCGCGCGACCCGGCCACGCCAAATAAAAAAGGGGAGGTGGGGACGGACGGACGAACCCTGGAGGCCCCACCGGCCATGAGCGCGTGGCGACGGGCGGCCACCGTGGTGCTGGCCGCGGGCTGGAGCCACCCGGGTCCGGGCCCCGCCGCCACCGCCGCCACCGCCACCGCCACCGCCCCTCAGCCGCCCGACGGCTTCCGGCTGCTGCTTCTCCAGCGCGCCGGGACCCAGCGCTTCCTCCCGGGCGCGCACGTCTTCCCGGGAGGCGCCCTGGACCCCGCCGACAGCTCGGCCGACTGGCTGCGGCTCTTCGCGCCCCGGTACGCGCCGCCGCGCTTCGGCCTGGGTCCCCCGCCGGCGTCACCTCCGCCGCCCTCCTTCCCGGGGCTGCGCCAGGGCGGCGGAGGTGGCGCCGAGGGGGCGCTGCCCGAGGACGTGGCGCTGCGCATCTGCGCCGTCCGCGAGACCTTCGAGGAGGCCGGGGTGCTGCTGCTGAGGCCGCGGGGCTCGGAGCCGGCTGGTGCGGGCCCGGGGGAGCCCGGCCTGGCGCTGGCGCCCCTGCTGCCCCCGCCGGAGCTGGGCGCCTGGCGCTCGCGCGTGCGCCGCGACCCGCGCTGCTTCCTGCGGCTGTGCGAGCGCCTCGACTGCGCGCCCGACATCTGGGCCCTGCGCAGCTGGGGCGGCTGGCTCACCCCGGCCCGGCCCAGCGGAGGAGGAGGAGGCGGCGGCCCCCGCTTCGACACCGCCTTCCTCCTGTGCTGCCTGCGCGAGGCGCCGCCCGTGGAGCCCGACGGGGCCGAGACGGTGGCCTACAAGGTACATGGAGGGGCGGGGCCGTGACAGGGGCGGGACGCTCTCGGGGGCGTTACCATTCGGTTCTTAGAACGTGTCACGGCCCCATCAGCCTTCCTCCTTCTTCTCCCTGTAATCTCTCTCTCTCTCTCTCTTTTTTTTTTACATTTTTATTATATATTTAAATTAGAAACGAGCTTACTTACCAGTCAGTCCCAGTGCCCTCTCCCTCTCCCTCCACGCCCGCTCCTCCCTGTAATTTCTTTCCGTCTCCAACTTTCTCTCTGTCTCTCTCTGTCTTTCTGTCTCTCTCTCTCTCCTTTTTACCATCTCCTCTCCCCCCAACACACATCCTTCTCCCTTTTCTGACTCCTCTCTCCTCATTTAATCTCCCCCACCCCCTTCCCTTTCTCTCCCTCCTCCTCCTCCTCCCACTCCTCCTCCTCCTCCTCCTCCTCTTCCTCCTCCTCCACTTCCTCCTCCTCCCCCTCCTCCTCCTCTTCCTCCTCCCCCTCCTCCCTAGCACCAGGAGGCACAGTTAGACTTTCAGGCAACTTCTTCCTTTACATCACATGTTTTAGATGTTTCTATATTTTTCAAAAAAAAAAAGTAAGTAAACAGAATTACTTTAAATTGTGTGTCTGAGTGGGGAGTGTGCATGTATGTGGGTGCGGGTGCCCGCCGATGTACGTGAGTCACCTGGAGTTGGAGCCACCTTTGAGTGGGTGGTGGGGACCGAACCCAGGTCCTCTGCAAGATGGCCCCTCCGCAGATCTCAGTGGAGTCTCTTTAGCCTCCTCCCTCTGTGTGTGTGTGTGTTTTTTGTGTGTGTCTGTGTGTGTAGCGGCAGCTACACGTGTGTTTTAGACTACTTGGTCTGCTACAGACACGGATGCCTCATTTGACTTGTTCCAGCATCTTTTGCTGTGTGTGTGTGTGTGTGTGTGTGTGTGTGTGTTGTTTTGAGATAGAGTTTCTCTGTAACCCTGGCTGTCCTGGACCTGACTTTGCAGACCAGGTTGCCCTCAAATTCAGAGATCCACTTGCCTCGATCTCCAAGGTGCTAGGGTTAAAGACTACACGCGGCTCAATTGCAGCTTTTTTTTTTTTTTTTTTTTTTTTTTTTGGTTTTTACGAGACAGGGTTTCTCTGTATTGTTTCAGAGGCTATCAGTCCAGCCCGGCCACGAACTCACAGAGATCCGCCTGCCTCTGCCTCCCGAGTGCTGGGATTAAAGGCGTGCGCCACCACCGCCCGGCTCAATTGCAGCTTTTTAAGTTTATACTTAAAATGACACTTCCTATGAAAAAACAGCAATGAGAGGTATTTCTGGAAGCCTATAACTCTCGTTCTAGAGGATCTGATACCCTCTTCTGGCCTCTGAGCCTGGCAAAACACATACAAATCTAAAGTTAATTTTTCCCCTCTTTTTCTTATTATGTTGGTATTTTTGCTTACATCTTTGAACCAATGGGACTTCTGAGAACAGGAGATAGAAAAGAGTCAGGCAGTGTGATATCTTTAATTGTCAGCTTGCCACAACCTAGAATCCTTCCAGGAGCCCCATGGTACAAACGCTTACAGTGTTCCCGTGAGGTAACATTACAGAGCATGCCTGCTTCTCTTGAATTGCTCGAAAATTCCCTTTGCATCTCTCTTTTCCTTCGAGATGCTGCCCAAAGCCTGGATGTGCTTGCCCAGACACGGGCTTTCTCGTTCTTTTTTTTCCTGAAGCTATTTCCCAGCCCCTGTCTACCAGGTGACTACATACATCATGAAATGTCTGTCTTTCTCGTCTCCTTCTCCTTTCTGCTGACCCTGCTGAGATTTAGTAGAATTGTCCTTGAGCTTCTCTTTGAGTCTGTTTTTAAATTCAGCTTTTTAAAAAGATTGTGTGTGTGTGTGTTACACACCACATTTTCCTGTGCTTGACCTGTCTTGGAGTTTTTGGTTACATGTTAGCATCACTTTTTTTTTAAGATTTATTTATTTATTATGAATAGAACATCCAGCCTCCATGTATGTCTGCACACCAGAAGAGGGCGCCAGATCTCATTACAGATGGTTGGGAGCCACCATGTGGTTGCTGGGAACTGAACTCGGGTCCTCTGGAAGAGCCATCAGTGCTCTTGACCTCTGAGTCTCTCCAGTCTTAGTATCACTCTTAAGTTGTTGATTGCTGGGTTTTGTTCTGTTCTTTTAAACAGTGTTGCACTATAACTCCTGGCAGGCAGTTGTGTCATTAGAGGTGGACTTTATCCTTCTAATTATGTTTTAAATGGCTTGGGTGTGGCCACAGTATACTGTGGAGCCAATATAGCTACAATTCCATCATGTGACCCCTTCTCTGGCCACTTCAGTGCCCGGGTGCTGCCTACATTTAATTAAGGCTTTCCCACTGTTTGGGAATACACTGCTGGAGAAAACTGGAAAACAATCTTGCCTCCGGGGAAGCGTGAAGAGTTTAGTCAGAAACCTCCCTGGTAGCTGCCCTTTGCTCAGAAGTAGCCATCATTTCTAATATCCTGTCTTTACTCTGTCTGTGCACAGGTAAGAATGTGGTAGAGTTTTAGAGTTCAGGTCTGTGTAGACCTTCTCAGGCACACTGCTCACCCAGTACCACCCGTGTGAGCCTCCCAAATTCTGATCTGTGTCTCTCGAGTCAATGAGAATTGGATGCTGCTTAGGATCCCTTGGTGCTCTGTAGTCTGTGAACAGCTTTAGGCAGAAGCCCTAGACGCGTAGTAGGTCTCCCTTCATTCGTTTATTTATTTATTTACCAGTGTTTGGAAATAGATTTTATTAAGTTATGCGGTGCGTGAGTTTAGCTCTCGTTGCTGAAAGTATCTTTTTATTTACCGATGATCAGCATTTTAACTAGTGTTTAATAATTATTAATATTTTTAATAAATATTATTTAACAATTGTGATTTGGTCGCTGTTAATTATTTTCATCCTTTAACGTGCATGCAGATGACCATGGAGGCCAGAAGAGGGGGTTCATGTTTGTTTGAATGGCCTAGAACTTCACGGGTGGTCCTGAGCTGCCCCGTGTGGTGCTGGGAACTTAACTGTGGCCCTCTGGAAAAGCAACAACTGCCTTTTAACCCCTGAGCCATCTCTCCAGCCCCCAATTCTTTCTTTCTGAGACAGGACCTCACTATACTGCCCAGGCAGGGCTTTGGCTCCTGGACTCAAGCGATTTTCCTGCTTCAACCTCCTGATTAAGCAGCACAGTGGTGACATGGCAGTGTCCGGCCTCTGAATGTTCTCACGCTGTCTGAGAGATCTAGCAAGGCCTGGCTGGTTCTGGAATAAGCCCCACAAAGCTGCTTCTTTTATCTCCTACAGTGGTTGTCTCCATCAGAGGCAACGGAGAGTTTCCTGTCCAAGGAAATCTGGCTGGCACCGCCGCAGTTCTATGAAATAAGAAGACTTGAGACTTTTGCCTCCCTCTCCGCTCTGTACAGATTTTCTTCTGGTTACCCGTTAGAGATAACTGAGAAATGGATGCCGATAGTACTTTTAACCGCTGATGGTACCATCAGCCTTTTACCAGGTAAGTCGGGGAGGGACCAGTGCTCACATTTGGTACACCCAGGCTGCTGGCAGAGGCAGGAGTTACAGCCTGTTTTATAGCCTGTGCCTGTGGGTGTGGCCACGTGTGTCCCCTGATAGCTGTGAATGCAGCCCAATACAAAATAAACATTGAGATGTTTGTTTGTTTTTAATGTTCTTTGTAGTTCAGCTGTGTGGCTCTCAGACATGAACCTTGTAACCACAAGAGGTTTTGCCCTGCCTGGCGTATTATTAATTAAAAGAAGGTCAGAGCTATAAAATGCACATCTTTCTAGTTTCATCCTGTTCCTGGGACAAATATCTTGACCAAAAGCACTGCTTCTAACCAACATGCTTCACAAGGTCCATCAGGAACCGTGGAGAATCCAGCTTGCTAGCTGGTTCACAAAGGACTATGCTTAGATAGCTGGGATATTCAATTTGGGGCTCCCTGACTAGGGAGTGGCACTACCCACAACATCAGTGACATTCAATCAGTGACATTCATGACTGTCCTTCCACAGGCCAATACGGTCTGGGAAGTCCTTCAGTTAAGACTCTTCCTCGGGTGACTGAGGATGTATGGTTTTGATAATTAAAGCTAACCCTAGGACACATAATGTTTGTTCTTACTTGTTTTTGACACAAGGTCTAAATGCAGATCTCAGGCTGGCGTAGCACTTCCTGTGTACCCCAGGCTAGCCTCAAACTTATAATCCTCCTGCCTTCATCACCCTGTGCTGGGATCACGGGTATGCCACTGTGTTTATTATAACTAGGGATTCTGAATTTATAAACTTGTAGATATATATTTCCTAGGCACAGACAAAATTCTTTTCTCATGTATTATCTCACTTTTTACATTTTGTTTTGTTTTGTTTTTTCAAGACAGGGTTTCTCTGTGTGGCTTTGGAGTCTGTCCTGGCACTCGCTCTATAGACCAGGCTGGCCTCGAACTCACAAAGATCTGCCTGCCTCTGCTTCCCGAGTGCTGGGATTAAAGGCAAGCGCCACCAATGCCCGGCCTTCACTTTTACAGTTTTATTTTCAGTTAATGACAACCTGTAAGCCGTTAGCTTATTTGAATTAGGAAATTTGTTGAGGGTTACAATTTTGGCAGACACTGGTTAGTGTTGTAGCAGGCACTATTTGACCGGTCATATTTCATACCTGCCTCTTTGGTTCCCGATCATACAGATGAAATTTGTTTTTTGCTCTAGAGAGGGACAGTTTAGGAGCTTTGGAAAAAAAAAGATTTACTCTTATCTTATGTATATGAGTGTTTGCCTACACATACGTATGTGCAGCACCAGTGTGCCCAATATCTACAGAGATCAGGAGAGGACATCGAATCCTCTGGAACTGGAGTTACACATGTAACGAGCTGCAGTGTGACCGGTAGGGACTGAACTTGGGTTCTCTGGAAGAGCACTTGGTGTTCTTAACCCCTGAGCCATTTCTCCAGCCCCTAGCAGGTTTAATATAAGGAACCATGGACTCTAGCCTGAAAAACCTATGGGACAGCTAGGCCAGGCCAACTCCTTGGTTCCCTGAACCCTGACTCAAAAACTAAGGTGGAAAGCTGGGCATTGGTAGCGCATGCCTTTAGTCCCAGCACTCGGGAGGCAGAGGCAGGTGGATCTCTGTGAATTCGAGAGCAGCCTGGTCTACAGAGTGAGTTCTGGGACAGCCATGGCTGTTACACAGAGAAACTCTGTCTCAAAAGAAAAAAAAAGCAAAACAAACAAAAATAAAACCTAAGGTGGAGAGTGATTGAGAAAGACCCTCAGTGTCAATTTCAGGTCTCCACACCTGTATACACACACACACACAAGTAAATAGAGGAGAATTTTTAAAATAAGCTAAAAATAGATTAACCTCAAGATTACCAGGCCCACCATATTGAAACATCAAAAGTGTTACTAAGGCCAACATTAATGTTAATATTTAATAGGCTAAAGAGAGTCATGAAGTAGTCTAAAACTTACCCTGAGTGTGGTTGGGCATGTGACTTTGTGGGGTACTTGCCTGGTTTGCATCAAGGCCTCAGTTTTCATTCCCAGTGCTGCTGAAATATGTGATAAAGATTATAGTTCCCAACTGAAACACTTACAGTCATCCATTATGATGTGCCCAAAGGAAATACTTGTCTTGGGGGGGTAGACATAAGATATTAAAATCCAACCAAGAGAGCTGGAGAGCTGGCAGTCAGTAGAACGTTGACCCTGCAGGTGTGTGGGTGTGAGTTTGCATCCTCTGAACCGGGGCAAACAGCCCGGCGCCTGTTAGTCCAGCCCTGCAATGGCGGGTTGGTGGGCAGAGCAAGGCAGATCATGGGCCAGCTGGCCTGAGCTAACTGGGGGTGTGCCAGGCTAATAAGAAACCCCATCTGCAGCAAAAGGTGGGACGTTCCGGAGGAGCGACACCTGAAGGTGCCCTCTGGCCTCTGTGAGGACTTACTTTCCTATACCTACTCACATACATTTGGTGGAGGAAGAGACCCAACTCTTGCAGGGTAGTTTCTGACCTTTACCTGTGTGACTACACACGTCCATATGTGCACACATGCACGAGTACACACACACACACACACACACACACACACACGCGCGCGCGCGCGCGCGCACACACACACCTCCCTCCTTCCCTCTCTCTCAAATGCAATAAAAACCTGGAACAGGGTGAGAGTCTCAGTGGTTTGAAGCTGTGCTCCTGTTCTCTCAGAGGATCTGGATTCGGTTCCCAGGACCCATGTCAGGTAGTATGCAAATGCAAATATATGTACAATGGATTAGCAATCAAGTAAATTCAAATTAAAAGTAGCAACACCAACTAAACGCCAACATGCAATACATACAAAAATACTGATTTATGTCATTAATATATTGGGGGTGATTGGTGAAACAATGCTTTATGGAAATAAATTTTTTACTATCTTCCAGGAGATGAGCTATACAAGAAGGACTCATACTTCTTAGAAAACCCAATGTCTACTGACAAAAAGACTGAAGAAATCTTGAAGGAAGGCAAAGTAGTTAACCGAATAGCTATCCACAGCTCGCATCTCTATGAAATCTACGTGTCTCTCCTGTCAAAGAGTAAGCACGTGTACCCTAAGAACTATGTGGTGCATAGGAGCCCGACTGCCCACCTGTAAGCTGCTTGCTCTACTTTCCAGGATGGACCGAACTTGTCTAAAGTGTAAGGAATACTCCGATCAAAGGCACGGTGAGATGTTTCCTGTGCCGTGTGCCGGTCTTCAGACTGCACAGCAAGGCAGCCGTGCGCATACAATGTATGAAGTATTAAGGATCTTGTTGCCAAGACAAATGGTTTCACAATGGTTGTCCTTTCTGTGTCTTATAAGTTTCAACATTTAAAAATGAGTCTCCTGCTGTCTTTGTTTGTTTGTTTGTTTTGATACAAGGTTTTTCTATGTAACAACCCTGGCTGTACTGGAACTCACTCTGTGGACCAGGCTGGCCTCGAACTCACTGATCCACCTGCCTCTGCCTCCCGAGTGCCAGGACTAAAGGTGTGCTCCCCCACCGCCCCCAGGACTAAAGGTGTGCGCCCCCACCGCCCCCAGGACTAAAGGTGTGCGCCCCCACCGCCCCCAGGATTAAAGGTGTGGTCCCCCACCGCCCCCAGGACTAACGGTGTGCGCCCCCACCGCCCCCAGGACTAACGGTGTGCGCCCTCACCGCCCCCAGGACTAAAGGTGTGCGCCCCCACCGCCCCCAGGACTAAAGGTGTGCACCCCCACCGCCCCCAGGACTAAAGGCGTGCGCCCCCACCGCCCCCAGGACTAAAGGTGTGCGCCCCCACCGCCCGGCTCTACTGCTCTCTTCTGTCACACGTGTTCCCAGGTTTCCGGATGTGGGGTGGAGACTCAGCCCCGGGTCTCTAGACTTTTGGCAGGAATTGATTCAGGGTACCTAATAAGACGGTGTTCTGGTACAAACGTGAAGTCTCCTCCGCGTGGCCCCTAGCTGGTGGCACTGTTCTGGCGGGTTGTGAAAACCGAGGGGCAGGCGCTTTAATGCTGGCACCGCTGGTCCTGAGGGCTAGAGTCCCACCTCCCGCGTTCCAGCAGAATCCTCTGTTTTCTCACCTGGGGAGGTGTGAGCAGCCCGCCCCCAGGTCTCAGCCTGCGTACATGTCACATGGCCTACAGCACCGAGAAACTTCCTAAAATAAATCCTTGCTCTCTACATTGTCTCTGAGGCATTTGAGAGCAGCAAGGAAAGTGTTAATGCAAATAAGCAGTGATTGAGACCGCCTTCAAGGGCGATGATGTGCCCTTGCCATGCATTCAACTTCAAAATTAGCGGAATGGTATTTGAGCTGGTCAGGGTGACACACACCTTTAATCCCGGCACTGGGGAGGCAGTGGCGGGCAGATCTCTGTGAGTTCGTGGCCAGCCTGATCTACAAAGTGAGTTCCAAGACAGCCAGGAACCTTGTCTCAAAAAAACAAAACAAAAAAAAAAGATAAAAAAAAACTACAGGTTTAAAACCAAGCAGCATTCATTTTGACATCTAAATTTTATTTTTTATTACGTTTTTTATGTGCTGGAGCACACAGGTGAGCTCGTGCCGTGGAACAGTGAGGAGGGCAGAGAACAGCTTACGGGAGTCGGTTCTTTCCTAGTCGATTAAGCTCAGGTCGCCCAGCTTTGCGTCGCAAGCTCTTACTTGCCAAGCCCATGATGGTCCCACACGTCTCAAATTTTAAAGATTTAGGAGCCATAAAAAACACAGGCTGGTGAGATGGCTGGGCAGGTAATGGCAGTTTCCGCACGTGCCCGGTGACCTGATTCTGACCCCCCAGAACTTTCGTAGAGGTGGGAAAGGAGCCTACGTTTCAGAGTTGTCCCCTGCCCCCATATGTGCGCCTTGGCATGTGCGCTCTCACGCATAGGCATGCGCAGACACACACCGTAAAACTCATGAACCTTTGTGAGTTTAGGAAGTGGTTGTTAATGGATCTAAAGAGTTTGGGCAGTGTGTTATTCACAGGTGTTTAATGTGGGTGATTTCTTGCTGGCTTTGTTACAGGCAAATGAAGGTGAGAATTGATAGTTAAGACACAACTTGTTTTGTTTGCTTTGTTTAAGGCGGATCTCTGTGAGTTCGAGGCCAGCCTGGTCTACAGAGTGAGTTCCAGGACAGCCTCCAAAACAATACAGAGAAACCCTGTCTGGAAAAACAAACAAAGAAACAAACGAACGAACAAACAAAAAGACAGGGTTTCTAAAAAGCCCCTGCTGTCCTGGAACCCACAATGCAGACCAGATGGCTTCAGACTGACAAGAGATACATCTGCTTTTGCCCCCTGAGTGTTAGGATTAAAGGTGTGTGCCGCCATACCTGGGCAGGACACTAATTCTGTGTGTAGATTGTTACTCGTTGTGATTTTCAATTTTCACACAGAATGTCCTGATTTTCCTGCTAACACAATAAAGGCAATAATAAATAAAGCTGTGCATGTGTGTTTTATTCCTAAGGGCGTGTGTGTGTGTGTGTGTGTGTGTGTGTGTGTGTGTGTGTGTGTGTGTGTGTGTGTGTCCCCGTTTGCGTGAGCTTCTGTGCGCCCCATGGAGTCCAGAAGAGAATGTTGGATCCCCTGGTACTGATGGAGGCAACCAAACCCTTCAAGTCCTCTGGTGGGAGGAACCAAGCCCAGTCCTCTGCAAGAGCAGTGAACACTTTTACTGGCCAGACCGTCCCGCCAGCTCTTTCTCTGCGTAACTTCATGCCCGTTAGAGGAATGAGAGAGAGCAGCAGCTTTTAGCTAGTTCCTCGTGTTCTTAGCTTGCTCCAGCTGTCTGTTCAGTTGTCATCACTGAGGAGGGGGGATGATAGTGCCATCTAGTGGAGGAAGCTCACAGGTGCAGTAAGATGGCCTGCTGTGCACAGGGGGTAAAATCTAATCAGGCCTGGGGGTACAGATCAGTGACCCTAGCTTCCCAGAAGGCTGTGAAGGAAGAACCAAAAGTTCAGGGCCTGCCTGGGTTACAAAGTGAGTTCAAGACCAGCTTTGACAAGGTACGGAGCCTGCCTCAAATTTTTTTAAAAGAAGGCTGAGGCACATGCAAGATTCTAACTCTATTTTTTATTTATTCATTTATTTTGGTTTTCTTCTGAGACAGGGTTCCTCTGTGTAACCCTGGCTGTACAGGAACTCACTTTAGACTAGGATGGCCTGGGACTCAAGAGATCTGCCTTCCTCTGCCTCCCGAGTGCTGGAATTAAAGGTGTGAGCCGCCACCGCCATCAGGCTAGCAAGGCTCTAAGTTTGCTATGCAGTACTGAGAAAATGAAAAATGTCAGATCTATGCTTTTGCTTTTGTTTGTATTAATAGGGCCTCTCTATAGAGCCCTGGCTGTCCTGGAACTTGATATGTCGACGACCAGCTGGGCCTCGAACTCACAGGTCTGCTTGGTTTTGCCTCCTGAGTCCTGAAATTAAAGGCATGTGCCACCACACCCGGCCTCAGATTTAGGTGTTTTAACTCTTTGTGTTCCCGTTGGTTATGTGTGTGCATGAGTGGAGGCTTCGAGCCATTCCATGTGGGTGCTGGGAACTGAATTCAGGTCCCCTGGAAGCACTCTTAACAGCTAAGTCATCTCTCTGGCTCCAAATCTTTTTTTTGTTTGTTTGTTTTTACGAGACAGGGTTTCTCTGTATTGTTTTCGAGGCTGTCGGTCCAGCCCAGCCTCGAACTCACAGAGATCCGCCTGCCTCTGCCTCCCGAGTGCTGGGATTAAAGGCATGCGCCACCACTGCCCGGCCTATTTTTTTTTTTTTAGTAAAAGATCCCAATATGTAAATATGAGATCCATAGATAATCATATTCTATGTGGCAAAACTCCTTACATGATTGTTGGCCTTGAGTAGAGTGTTCAAGAAGGCAGCTGGCAAAAGCACCTTGGCCTGAGCTCTGCCATTTTATCTTCAGACTCATTTTATCCGTAGGGTGAACTCAAGTTCATGCTCCCGGGACCCCTAGGGGACCTGAGAACTTCGCAATGGCTGACCATCCTCCTCCCTAAACCATACCAATAGCCGCTATGCATCTTTTAGTTCTCTGGGAACATTGCGGTTGTTCCTAACAACAGAAGGGACAGGTGAATCTGATTGGTTGCAACGGAAATGCTTGCATTGTGTATGGCTTGACAACGACGGAACACACAAGGAAGCCCCTGGTCTCTAAGTCCTGGTTGGTGAATATTGTGATTGTAACTTGGCAACAGATCTTTGTGGATTTTACGCTTATAAATGCCACTGCTCGGGACTCCTGAGTCCTTGTCTGCAGCCCTGGTCAATCAATCAGCGACCCTCTTACTGGTGAATTAATAAAATCTTTGGAGCCATAAGTGTTCTGTCCTTGCTCATGGAGGGCGTGACAGTTCGTTCTCAAGGAGTGTTAATGCTGGAAGGGACCTCAGTGAATGCTGTTATTCTGTCAGTGAGGAAGCTGGGAAAAGGGTCCATGCAGTAAGCTTTCCTCATAGAAAAGATATAACATAGGCATGATTGTTTCTTGGTAGAAGGCCTCCCTAGATGACCTGGGTCAGCCTTGAACTCCCAGACTCCAAAGTGTCCTCCTGTCTCTGTTGGTCTGGTATTACAAGAGACCTCATGCCTTGAGGTCTCTTGTTTTGAAACAGTCTTGTGTAGCTAAGGCTGGCCTTGAAGTCGCTATGTAGCCCAGGATGGCCTTGACTTCCTGACCCTCTTGCTCCAGCCGCCTGCGTGCTGGGATTACAGGTCTGTGCAGTTGCTTGCTGGTATCACTGGTGGATGTTTCTAATCGGAATGAGACTAGTCTCCCATAAGGAGTCATTCTCAGAAGCTCACACGATTTCCTCCATGCAGCCGCAGCCTGCTCCAACAGCCTCAAATCACAGCTGTTGGGTTAGAGACCAGGTCATTGCTCACTCATAACCCTTCTCTTACCCCCTAGCCCTGCCCCTGCCTCTAGAGTGCTGGAATTAAAGGCGTGTGCCACTAAGCTTTAACAGTGATCTGTATCACTTTTTCTTTATGAATCATTTCGAGAAATGATCTCATTCTGTTGTCCTTGCTGGTCTGGAACTTACTATGTAGACTAGGCTGGCCTCAAACACACAGAGATCTGCTTGCCTCTGTCTCTCGAGTGCTGAGACTAAAGGGATGGACCATGAGGCCCAATAACAACAAAAATATTGTGTGTACATGTGCCTGCCGGTGTGTGTGTGTGTGTGTGTGTGTGTGTGTGTGTGTGTGTCTGCCTGTCCCGACCTGCAGGACACTCAACGTGGGTCTGGTGGACACCTAGGAAAAAGATGGGGGGCAGGGGACACAAGGACGGACGTCAAGACAGGATTCTGATCAAGGCGACAACTT